TAAAATTTTAAGAAAATCAAAGATATTTATAAATGGCTAAAATTTTAATTTGATTTGAAGATTTAAAATCAAATAATTAAATCAAATTCAAATCTAGATTTTGTAAATCAAATTAAATTCAAATCCAAATTTTTAAATTAAATCAATTTCAAATAAGCCTAATATTTGATTTGATTTGATTTTGAGAAACCCTATTTATATGGCTATATATCTTATCTTAAAAATACAAACTTAGATTATTTTATCTATAACCTAAACCTACTATAGTATATTACATTCCCACCACATATTAGATTTGGTGTTTAAACTATTTCTAGCTACCTACTGTATTCACCCATGTTTCACTATCAAATCTTGATTACTTCCAAATTAGTTCTTTCAGGGAATTGATTCTTTTTGACCTTCCAATTTGATATGTCTGTTATTAGAATTTCTAGTATTGCTACATAGATGACTTCTCGTATATGTTTCTCAAGCCAGATACTTGCTGCCTCTGCTAGTTCCACATAAGAAGCATTGGTATTATATGTTAGATCTGAGGATTTATTTAGTGTTTGCATCACTTAGTTTATGTAATATTCCCATTAAAATGATTATATTATATCATCTGCTAGCTTGCATCTTTTCATGTAGTATGAATGTTCCAGACCTTCCCACTTACTACCCAGATATACTAATCTTGTATCTTAAGCTAGGCCCTGCTACCGCTACTGGTTTGCTGTCCCTAGATCTTAACATTTCTTTAATTATCTAGTGCAATATATATTACCATCCCTTATATACTTCCTTATATGGTATTTTGTCAGGACCCTTAGTTATGAGAACCTCCTGAGTTGCACAGCAACTACAGTGCTACATACTCCTAGTCGTTCATGCTGGTATATCTTAATCTTTTTTGTCATAAACTTCTATATAGATATAATTAGAGCTTCGAATTGGTACCTTTAGATATACAGGGTAGCTTGCTTTTTCTCTATACTGAGTAGCCTTCTATAGTCATTTCACCGATACTAGAGATGCTTCCAATTCTAGTTAAAGTATAATTCTTTATCACAGACTATAATTGTATATCATCGCTTTTCTTACTACTTCAGTTTTGGTAGTATTGTATCACTTTTCTAAGCAAGTATCCAATACTATTAACATATTAGAACTTATATACATAATCAATTAATCATCCTTCTAAGCAAGTACTCCACAAGTTGAGTGTAGAGATATTGATATTGCCAAATATAGAGGTGATGAGATATTAGTATTACTTCTAAATAGGGTTGTTAATGGAGTGGAGTAGAATAGGTTGGGTTGGAATTAGATGGAGCAAGGCTATTTTCAACCCAACTCGGGTCATGCTCCGGGTTATGCTCCAGGTTGTGCTCCAGGTTGTGCTCTGGGTTATGCCCCAAGTTGTGCTCCGGGTTGTGCTTTAGATAATGCTCCAGAATGCGCTTCAAGTTTCGTAGATATTAGGGTATCACATCGACTATTTAATCAAATTATACCAGTTATATTGATAATTTTACTATGATCAGATTGTTATCAGTAAAATTAAATTAATTAATCGAATAAAATTTTACTTAAATTATAAAGAAAAGCGTAAAATTCTAAAGAATTCACATAAATATTGCTCTTATTTTTCTGATTTCTGTTGACTGAAAATTATTTATTTGAATCATTTCGAAGTAACTACGTTTTATTTTTCACTAATGCTATTAATTTTTGAGTTATACTTTTAATATAATTTTTTTGGCCTTAATGAATTTTCAAATATTCTATATAGCGAATACTCAAACTCACATATTAATAAAAGAAATTGAAATGTAGCTTTATTCTTTGACTTTATATAAGCAAATGGTGAAAATTTTAGTTAATTTCATGTTTTGGCGATAAGTTAAATCATTTTAAAGATCGGGTTTAAAGTAATAGTCTTATAAATTAAAAATCCAATATGTATATACGTAGTGTTACGATATTTTCCATAATAGATTTTTATTATTATATATCGGTATGTATTATATTTTTCTTGCGTAATACATTTATTAGTACATAATGACTACATAATTATACATTTCGACGTATTTTGTCAAATTTAACTAATTTTTGATCCCCAAATTTAAGTTTTAGAGACAAAATTTATTATTTATTTTTTTAATGTTGAATCCTCTAAAAAAATTATTTGCCTCCAATCTATAATACAATGCGTTAAACCTATTTTCCTATACTTCTAACCTATTTTTTTCATTAGCCCAATCTATTTTAAATTTCTGTACAATTCAGATAACCCATCTAACAACTTGCGATAGCCGTCAATAATATTGGTATTTTATGAATAACAGAAAATTTAAAAAGTATATCATCGTTAGATTAGAATATTAATATTACATATATGTGAAGTCAATTAAATGACTCACAATCAGTGGCCAAAATTTTTAAATTTTGGCAAAAGTATTGACCTTTTACTGTATGTATATACAAAGAAACTGAAAAAGACCAAACTTCTGAAAAACTCTGTTTAGAAGACAAAATATACTCACTATTTATTAAATCATCAAATTATATTATAGAACAAGATAATTAGAAGTATTTTTCAAGACTGTTTTATTACATTAGATTCTATTACTAAACGCCTAGCTATATATTTGAATAGGAACCAGCCTATAGCAATAAAAGGTTTGGGTTATATATTGGTGTTTGTAGCATGTTCGGGTAATAAATTTATAGAGTTTTTTTTGTATCAATTAATTCTTTTGTATTAATGTATTCGTTGTTTATCTAAATAAAAATTAAAGATTTTTTATCATCCTGTATTTATTGTTTTTAGTATTTATTCCTTACACCCTTTTGTAAAAAAATATGCACTTTTTCTGACAGATATTATATAAATAAAGATATATGGTATTATAAAATGACTCAACTGCCAATTCGAAAGCTTTTTACAAATATAAATTTTGGCAGCATGTAGTTTTTTTAAATTTATTAGATATCTTATCCAGGCAAATTTGTTCACGAATGCCTTATAGTATAAGGGATAATAAAAATATTTATTTATTTGTAAATTGTTCAATATAATAATATTTGAAATACTTTTCAAATTACTGTAATTATTAGTTACATCGCCTATAATAAAATCTTTAAATTTACAAACTTTAAATAAAGATATCTGCTTTAAAAATTGAAATTTATCAAACTATAAGAAATCTTCAAACAAAATTTGAACCTTCTTACAATATAATTCAGTATTTAATAGATTTCTAGTTTCTATAATATAGTATGAAATTTGTTAATAGTAATTTAAAAAGCACTACAGTCAACTCTCTCAAATCTGAACATAAATAATCCTAACTCTTAATAAACTTTGCGAAAACCGAATACAAAGCTTTAGAATATTTATAAATTTTATTATAAAGTTCAGATTAGTGAAATAGTAACTTTTTGAGAATTGAATTTTTTTATATTTTTATATATAAGAATAGATAGAGAGAATTGGCTATATAATGAAAGTTACTAATAGTAATAAAAAATGTGTTAGATATTAGCTAAAATTAAGTTACTAGCCTATTGTTTTTTCTTCTAAAAAATTCATGATACTAGCTAATATCTAACATATTTTTAATAATAAATATATATGTAGTTAAAGTATTATATTTCTAAAAGAAAAAAACTTTCTATATCAAGTTCTTTTTCATTTTTGTCATGTACTTGCTGAATTCAGCTTTTAAGACACATGACTGCATGTGCTGTATCAGGTTTTAAGTTGCAACGAATTTTAGTTATAGTATTTGCTGCTATAGAAAAAGCCTGTTTTGAAAGCATGCTTGAACCCTGAATACTCAGATAGCATAATGCCATATTTGCAAGAATTGAAAAATCTTTACCAAAATGATGCCACCAATCTAACAGATTTGTATTAGGATCAACTAGAATTGCAAAATATCGAGTAATTTCATCTTCAACAGTTACTTGTTCAGAAGCTTGTTCGGAAATTAAAGATTCAAAAAATGACTGTTTGTTTTCTCTTGATCATAAATTTATATTAGTTAATTGAGTATCATTTTTTATATAAATCTATTCTTTTACGCAAAAGTGCTATAGCTCTATCACGCTTATTCATATCTTTAAAAGTCTTAGCCTTAGATCGTGGATCTAACAAAGCACCAATTGTTGTTGGTTCATCAACATATTCCCAATATTCTTGAAGTTTAAAATTAATTAAATTTGCTACTATGCATTCATCTAAATTAATATCAGGTGAGTTTCAAGAAAAGACTTTATATGTTGCAATAAACCAATTATAGTTAATCTTATGTCGTTTATAATAGAATACATTGAAGTTGATAATATTTCAGTTGCTATAAAAAATAATTCAAGTAATTGAATTAAACTATTAATTACTAGCCAGTCATTATCTTGCAAATACAAACTAGAAAGATCCCGATTTTTAATAATAAAAAGATCCAAAATATCTCTCATTTGGCAAAATTTTTTTAATATAAGATATGTGCTATTCTACTGTGTTTCTATATCTAAATCAGGTTTTAATTCAGGTTTATTTTCATGTTTATAAATTGTTTTTTAAAGACTTGCTTAACCTTGTTGAATGCTGAATTTTTGTTACAAAATCTCGAACTTTTTTTATAATTGGTGATACTAACTACAAACCATGTTGTATAGCAAGATTAAGTATATATGCTACATATCATTGATGAACTAACTCATGATTATTTAAAGTTTCTTTAAGTTTCTGCCCTGCAGCTATCATCGAATATGTATTATCAGTCATAATTCCCAACAACTTTTCAGTAATTTTAGCCTGATCCAATACTTGTATAAAAGCTTGTTTAATATTAATAGCAGTATGTTGTTTAGAAAGATAATAAAGATCAAGTAAAAAATGTTTTAATTGCCATTCATGATTAATAAAATGAACCGTAATATCAAGATACGATTGCATTGTAATTGAGCTCCAAATATCACAAGTAATTGAAACTTTTTTAGCTTTCTCAAATTCCTGTAAAATTATATTATGTATATAATTATATTTATTCAAAATTATCTTATCGAGACGAATCAAATAACATCAAAATCGGTAATTTGGATTATTGGTTACTGAAATAATTTAATATTTTAAAATTTTAATTAAATATAATTATCTCAGTAACCAATGATCCAAATTTAATGATTTTGATATCATTCGATTTGTTTTAATGAGACAATTCGAGTGGTATTAAAATGTTAAAATTAGATCACTGAATCATAAGATATTTATAAAAACTATTTACAACGTACTAAAATACAAAAATTTAAAAAAACTGTACTGTAGATGTTTTTTTGTAATTATCTTGCAATTTAATAATTCAATTTTAATATTTTTGATACTATTTAAATTATCTTATCAAGACAAATCAAATAACACTAAAATTGTTAAATTTGGATCTTTTGTTACCAAGATAATTAAATATTTTACAATTTTAGTTAAATGTAATTATCTTGTGATTTGATACCATTCAATTTGTCTTAATGAGACAGTTTGAATGATATCAAAATTGTTAAAATTAGATCACTGAGTTATGAGATATCATCGATTTTGTTATTTTTTAAAATTTTGCAGATCTTTACTATATATATTTCTTTACGTAAATTATAGATGATCTTTAAATTTATTTAAATTTTAGCTATTTATAAATATCTTCAATTTTCTTAAAAGTTTATTAAGTAAATTGATTTTGTATATTAAACAAAAAATATTTTTTTAAGAATGTAACAATATAGAGTAGTTGTTAAGTTATCACCCCCAAGCGGCAGATCTAGAGTTTGACTTCTACCAGTGACATTTTTCGAAAAATAGGCCTGTATTATGATAACATTTATTTGATGATTAGTTAAGTATATTACCTGTAACCTTGGTACCATTATCTCGAAATAGAAGCTTTAGGGTGATCCAAATCCAAGGAACCAGAATATTTAAAATCTATTTGGCAAAACCCGAGCTAGGAGTAGTAAAAATCTTTGATGATATTACAGAAAACTGGAACCAGAGATTGAAGAATCGGACGAACAAACCTGAAGCAAGAAGGGTCTACCAACTTGGCTACCAGAGTTGCACTGGAGAAAAAGATTTGATGTTACAGAATTCGAAACCAAGAAAAGTAAAACCAGAAGGCACTTAGAGTCTAGGTATAACAACCCTTCCAGGCTAACTGGTTTGGTAATTAGAGAGAAATCAGTATAAGGGCCAGTTGGAAGTGGATATCAGGATTAGAACGAACCTTGTAAAGGGCAAGGAATAGGTTATAGTAGCAGTGTAGAAGATCGCAAGTTCCAGTTTTTGGATTGGAGTATATATTTCTGAAAAATCTAGGTGATACATGTGTAGGACATGGACTGCTCTGGTAGATTTATCACAAGAATAAAGTAGTTCTAAGAGGCCTTAGCGATAAGAATTCTTCCAGAAAAAGCTAAGTCGATCAGAAGGTTTAAATAGGGAATCTACAAGCAGATCCTAGATATAGCAATTGGTAGGTAACTATAGATAAAAATAGATATAGCAAAGCCCTTAATTAGATAATGACTAAAGTTTTATGTGTGATCAATTGTACTTTTGTTAATATAACAAAGTCAAGGAATGCCTATTCGGTATCCTGATAATTAAACTGAGAAGTTAATAAACCATGCCAGACCCCAAAATAATTATCTAATATTTAAAAAAAATATATTCTTCTATTCAAAATAGCCCCAGTTTAATAAAACCAAATTAGTGATTATCTTAATAAAATTTTGAGAAAATAGTCTCCGAAACTATAATTCTTTAAGTTTTAGCTATTTATAAATATTTTCGATTTTTATAAAATTTTATTAAGTAAATTGATTTTGTATATTAAATAAAAAATATTTTTCTGGGTTTGGGTCATATAGCTTATTGGTTAAGCTCCCAAACCCTTACAGACAAGGTCAATGGTTCGAGTTGGGCTGGAGGCAAATTAAAAAAAATTTGTCTTTGTAATCTACAGGGGCCATAATCAGATACGAAGCCTTGTAGAAAGTCCAAGTACAGTACAAAACCAGAATAAGAAGTTCCTGAAAGGAGACCAGGTTGTAAAATGAAGACATTACGTATGACAGCAGTATCACAAAAGGTCTAGGCAGTAAAAGATCACACGTGTAAGTTCTCTGGTTGGGTAACTTGGAGACAATAACAACATCTTATCATCTTCATATTTGGCAATACCAATATCCTTATACCCAACTTGTAGGGTACTTGCTTGAAAGAATGATTAATGAATTGTATGCATAAGTCCTAATATGGAATGGTATTGGGTACTTGCTTGGAAGGGTGATACTATACTACCAAAACTGGAGTAGTAAGAGAAGTGGTGATACATAACTATGGGCTGTGGTAAAGGATCATATCTTAACTGAAATTGGAAGTATCTCTGGTACTGGTGGAATGACTATAGAAGGCTACTCAGTGTAGAGAATATAACCTACCTCTATACGTCTAAAGATATCAATTCAGAGCTCTGGTCACATCTATATGGAAGTCTATGACAAAAAAGAATTAGGATTTACTAATATTAATATGATACCAACTAGCTGGTCTTTAACAAGATAGGTCATTAAAATAGAATTATGAAAATAGCTAATAGCTGGGAGTATATAGCCTTGTAGTTGCTATGCTACTCAAGAGATCCTTATAAACTATGGTTCTGACGAATACCATATAAGGGAGTACTTAGAGGGTAGTAAAAAATACACTGCATCAGATAACTTAGAAAACACTAAGACCTGAGATAGCAAACCGGGTAGCGGTAGCAGGGACCTGGCTTGAGATACGAGACTAGTATACCTAGGAATACAAGTGGGAGGTTTGGGGTATTCATATAATATAAGTTGCATGAAGAAATGCAAGCCAGCAGAAACTAAGCAGTGCAAACCTATCCCTTAGATTGTAGACCAACGCAGGCAAATTTGCTTGTGTTGGTACTATAAATATACTACTGATCTATTTTTTTAACAATTTAGAATATTCAAATAAAATTTGGTATAATAATATTTGA